TCACATTTACTTCATTAGGTTTTATCACAGTCTGTTTTAATAGATCCATGTTAGGCGAGCCAAGTGTTGCTAACTACACCGAAAGTTGTAATGGCATCTTTGCAAACGCCTTCCTGGTTTGTGACATAAGCGCGTGAATAGAGCCTATTTGAACCATGACACAGAAGAGGTAGTTGCTTCTACCCTATTTTTCTGACTATATGTTGCTCCATAGTATAAGTTACACCAGCCAAAAAATGCATAATGAAGAAGAAAAAAACATATATAAGTTGCACCGGACTACAAGTCGTACTCTTTGGAGAAAATGTATTTTATAAAATCAGAGACCCGGGAGGGACCGACATTTCATCTCGAAAGGCAAGTTATAATAATAACAATAGAATAGAGAACAAAAGGCAGTTGCATATTAAGAGTTCTTCAGATAACTATAGCACAAACAACATAACAAGTTTACCAAACTCTCCATCTCACTCTAGATCACTAAATCCATCGAATTCTTCATCTGTAGTGTCACTTCTGAGCAACTCTGTGACCACAAGGTAAACAGAGTACTGCTTCTGTGTAGCTGTCCTCAGACTCAGTATCAGTTCCAGTTAGAATTATTCTGGCCTTTCTGAATCCCGGCAGGATGGTTTCGGTTGTCAGTGAAGTCCAGGCTTTGTCGATCCAACCACTGACTTCCAGGAAAGTTGCATGGCCCACCCTCCTGGTTGCTGTGAAGCTGTGTTCTCCAGCCCTGCCTTTCACCAGTCCCTCGCAAGTTTTTCGCTCATTCCAAACTTTCTTTCTGCTGCTCGAGTACTGTTTTCTGCTGAATATTTCACTACTTGCAGCGGGACAGAGACCCTTACTGCAAGAGACATGCGCAGTAGAGTGCGAAGTGACAGTGGTACAGGAGTAATAGGAGTAGCAGATACTGACACACAAGCCTTGAGCGCCCTCTCGCGCCTGTCAGTGTGAAAATTTTAATATGTAAGTCGCACTGGAGTATAAGTCACACCCACTATGAAACAACCCAAACCCAAACCCAAACCATGAAAAAAAGTGTGACTTATAGTCCAAAGTATATGTTATACGGTTTATCCATCCCTGCTTCTACAACATCCCAGATGAAGTAAAAATAGTTTTCCCTAAACTAAAATTCCTAGTTATTATCTTCTGAAGGGCCCATATTATGTATTTTTAAGATTTCTGTTGTTGTTGTTTCGCCATCAAAAACACAACCAGAGTTTATTTCATTTCATTCACACATGGTTAACAGACAAACCCTGCATATTTACACTTAATTCTTCTCTCAAGTAGAAAACATTCTGTTCCAGCTTGTAATGTCATGTGGTAAGACAGGACGTGGTCCACTTTGTTTTTAAATTCCATACTCCTTCACTAGAATCATCACATAAGGTGGAACCGAGCATCTTTGGGGATGTAAACTGATTAATAATAAAAAAAAACTCAAACGTGTGAATGAAACAAAACAGATTTCCAGGTATGTTTGTAAGGAGGTTACAGCATTATAATATGGCTTAAAGCTCTCAAGAGTCTAAATTGCATAATGAGGGATCTTAAAGTAATTAAGTAATACATAGATACACAAACATTCAGCAATCACATCGGCAAACCACAATGACAATTTTGAGCCACACCTGAATTCTACATCCTGTTTATCTCAGCTATTACTCAAATTGACATCTCTATCCACAGTCACTTGCCATTAAATATCAAAACAGTGCATGACCTTTCTCACTAATAATTACAATGTTTTCCATCTCCAAATTACTAGAATGAAAAAATATATTTTGAAAAGATAATGTTTATGAGAGGACAAAGTTTTACCTAATTCTCTGGACATGTATCCATGACCATATTTGTTTTCTAGTTACTTTCCCCTTGACATCAGAAAACAGGAATGAGTTGACTTCACTGTTGCCTAGAAACATACAAAAATTGATGAAATTACGTTTTACCAATTGGTCCAGTCCTGTAGCCTTCAGTCCAGTAGTGTTGACATAAACTGAGCAGATCCATTGACTTAAAATGAGTTCATTGTCCCACTGCCATCTGGGGAGTTATACAATTCAGCAGGTACAAAACAGGTCATGTGGAGTCAATGTTACACAATTTGACTCTGCCATTTCAGTTAAACGTCCTGTATTACGCAAAAGTACTATATTGCACAAAATGTATTCTTGTAAGTCATGTTTAATGTTAAAACCATACCTGGAGTTGTGTTTTGCTTCATTCACACATTTGAGTAACCCTTTATTATTAGAGGTGTAACGATATCCAAGTCTCACAATACGATATTGTCACGGTATGAACCTCATGGTACAGTATTTATTGCAATATTTTGTGAAGGCTAAGAGAACTGTTGATATGCTACATTTTACTCTTAAAATGCCTTGACAAGACTTAATCCAAAGAACTAAGACTTAAAAGTGCTTAGAACTCTTATTTCTTCATGTAGTCTGCATTGAAATGGTCTATGTAGTTCCCTCTGTCTTTTCTTGTAACTACTGCTGCACCATAACTCTTAATTTAATCCAAGAGACTTGTGATTTGATATTTTGTGACGGCCCACTGTATTATTGTGCGAACTTTGACAATACAATATCATGATATTTCGTTTTTTGTTACATCTCTATTTATTATTAGTCTGTCCACATCTCCAAAGCTCAAAATGCTCTGTTCCAGCTTGTGATATCATGAAGTTGTAGTTTTCATCTTACCTTTTACCTTTAGTTCAGTAGAGATTGAACATTCCAGGGCTGAAATCATCCAAATGATTCTAGTGAAGATGTATTGAGTTTAAAAACACAGTGGAGCACTTCTTGTATCACCACAGGACATCACAGTGTTTATGTGTTAAACGAGTGAATGAAACAAACCACAACTCCAGGTATGTAAGTGAAGAAGAAACAATCTCTTTAATAAGAAATGTACTTTCACTTCACTTTAATTGTGTACTGTGTAACCGCCTATTTGTCTCCATGATGTGATGCCTTTATCTGGAATGTTCCACAGAATGGCACTTATCTCTATGAACATACAGAGGACAAAAAAAGTGATAAAACCAACTGATTATTAACAAGCTATATGTTTAAAACTGTGGAACATGTACAGGCAATGCAATAACATGTCCACGAATCCCCATTAGAGAAGTTACGCAGTGCAGCTTTAAATATTTTTTCAGACTAAAGTCACATTTTGTATTGATCACAGGCTCAAAATGTGTTGTTTAATTTAATTTTGTATTTTTTCGTGAGTTTTCAGTCAATCATGGTTACTACAGAAACACTCCACCATAGAAATACATGTAGAACACCTCCCCAACTGGATGTCACTGCAACGTATTAACACTCATTGCATCTACAAAGTCTTCTGTCTTGTCTTTTATTGCCCCGTCACTATTATGGAGTCATCTTTGAGGAAAGCCTCCCTGGTTTGAATCCTCCGTCTCCTCTGGTCTCACACCGGGGCTGATGTAGATTGTAAACATATGCAGAGTCTATAGGCAGCCAAAGGCATCATGGAACAGCCTTTCCCAGCAGCGCTCCGGAATGGAAAAAAAAAAAAAAGGATAATCCCACAATCCATCTATTCCCAAACTGTGGAAGTGAAGCCAGAGGTGGAACATGGGAAATTAGAGCTGATTATATTCAAGCGCATTTACAAAGGAGCCTCTCTCTATGTTTGGGTTTAGGCTGTAAGGTATAAGGAGAGAGATTCAAGATCATTCTGGCGTTTGCACAACACTGAGTCCGCAAAGACAAAAGAATAGTTTGAGAGACTATTACGTTTGAGCTGAAATATAAGTTTTTCAAAATAAGAAAACTCATTCTTGATAAAATAGACAGAGATAAGAGGTTTGGTTCCAGTCTACTGACATAGAGCGAGTCAGTCTTATAAAGCAGGGCCAAACTCTAGCGCCACGGTTGACAGTTTGACCCCTGCTACCCATGTCCTATACCGCTGTTGTGTCCTTAAGCAAGAGGGTTAGGATTAGTCACTTAGCTATATCACTGAGAGAAACCAAGGTTGCGAAAATGTCAGCCACACTTCTGTAACCAAGTCCAAAAAGTGAAGGAATATTTACAAAATTGGAAAACAGCTTTAAGAGTCTATTATTAGAATTATGTGATTATCATTCGACCATCCACTAAATCTCACTATTACAAGCTCAGAAATAAAACTGTTCAACACCAGAAAGTGACATGACATGGATATACTGGACCAATACTTAAAGTCAAAGCAAACACTGTGAGTTTGTCTGAAACCACCATTTTGGTCAGACTGAAGAAGCCAACATAAAGAATTTTAAAGGCGACGAAACACCACAACTGAGCTATGATTACAGTTTCCATCAGCTAATAGCCGCACTCCAGCTCAGGGCCAAACTACAGCAATAAGCAAGTTAAAAAGCAACGTTAAAGCTGCATGAAAGTATTTATTTAAGTTTTAATGTAACGTGCCAACTTTGTTTTACATCTGAAATTGACGAAACTGCGAATAAATAAGCAGGGGCCTACAAAAGATCAGATTTCATAATACAACTGTACCATTAAATATTAGGATTATATTGGACATTGGATTTTTGAACACAACAAAACAATTTAACAACTCAACTTTTCGCCAATTAGAACATTTTAAATATATTTCATGTTTTTATAATAACTTGCGTCATTCTATGGACAAGTGCCCATAAACTTAAAAAAACGCGACAATCACGTCTGCTTATTTTCTTTGTTTCAGATCATTTTGTTTTGTTGTAATTTCATCTTTTCTTCTTTTAGCATCTGGACATTTACAAATGAGCACACTTAAAACGTTACATCCCCGGTTAGAAGACTTGACATGACATGAGAGCGCGTATTCCCCTTCACCCTCAACTTTACATCGGGAGAAATGTAGCCCCACAAACTTTGCAGACGTGCCAAACTTGAACTTTACAGCTTTAAGGTTAGAGTTGAGCGCCTTTTCTACACAGATGACCGGCTACTTACATGTTTTATTGGAGCGGCAGCTGGTCTCCTCTCAGTAACATCGTCCTGACGCACAAAAGTGTCCAACAAAAAGTTCCCCTCAAAAATTTAAAACAAGAAAAAGAACTTTATCCAAAAGTCCGGCGCGCTCTGGGCACACGCGCGTAAAAGCAAAGTTTGGAGACAGTCCTTGGAGAAGTGAAGTGGTAACTCTGAGTAAAGGAGGAGAGAGGGACAGAAAGAGCGAGAGAGAAAGAGGGATGTTCGGGCAGCGGCGGGAGCGCGCACCGGTGACGTGCACAGCTGAGGTTTGGGTTCGACGATCAGCGGACAGTCCGGAGACTGAGACGTGTCAAGGTACAGAAAGAACCGATATCTTCCGGTAAGATTTCAGAATAAAATCATAGCAGAAGGAAGTCACGAACACTGAAGAAAACAACCATTTAAACTATATATCCTTTTTCAAATTTTAGTAACAGCAGCTACGAGGTTGAGTGGTTGAACACAATGTAGATCTTAATGAAATGCAGGTTGCAGACATGCTGTAAATAGACTATAGTCTACAGTCTGTGATCATTTAAAAAGGCACATATGTAACTTTTTAGTGAAAGCTCTGCCTCCTACTCTCTCTGGAAATGTTATTTCTTTGTCTAGAATGTTCTACAGTAGTAGAAGTGCTATTTGGATCTACAGAAATTGTGCAAAATTGTCCTTTTGGTGCTCTTCAGTGTACAAAATAATTAAAAGCCTTTAATACCACATGGCAGATCAAGGCATGTACCATGTGGCATAGAGGCTTTTAATTATTTTGTACTTTTAGAATGCCTCAGCTTTGTATTGTATCTATTGTATGTATGTATGTATGTATGTATGTATTGTATGTATGTATGTATGTATGTATTGTACAGTATGGCTTTACGCTTATAGCAGGCGATGCAGCCAGGCCAAGTCACAGGTCGACTGAGAGACAAGCCTTCTCACAGTATGAATTTATGTTTTTAAAGGCATGTTTAAACTAAATAACAACTAGAATTAATTAAATGCAAGACCTACTAATGTGATAGGCCTACTGTAAAAACATTAAAGGATTATGCCATTATAATGCTGTTTGCTCATCACAAACATACCTGGGGCTGTTGTTTTTTTCATTCACACATGTTTAACACACAAATTCTTCTGTCAAACAGAAAACACTCTGTCTCTACTGAGCAAAAGGTAAAAATACAAATACGAATACAGCGATCTACAAAGATATAGACCTAATCCAGTGTTAAAAAGTGTTAAACAACTAAGAGTGAAAATTCTACACAAGAGAAATAATTACAAGGAGATGATTCAAACAGCCTTTACATGTCTCCTGTCTCTTACAGTGATTTGATCTGATTAAAGTCAAATGAGGCGCGCTGGATTCGTTCACCTCCACCGCCCTGTGCTTTATTCTGTCTGATGGTTATCTACAGGTGAACACCTTTACTGCTCTGTGATTGGTCAAAAGAGGAGGAAAGGAAAGTGAGCAAACCAGGAAGTAATGACGCTGAACGAACAGATCCACATCACACGCCCAAGTGGTTCAAGGCAATTTGTAGAAATGAAATATGAATGTGCCTCATACCTCATTTAGGTTTTACTTTAGATGTTGAGCCTTAAAATGTTCCATACCAAGGATTTTCCACTGACTGCATGTTTGAATATTTCTAATTCATGTCACTGAACATGAACATCACCTATAGAATATATAAGGAGTTTAAAGTGCGCTGTGCAAATGTTCTTGTGGAGGGTCCATCAGCCACTTGTCTCCATGGAGATATTATGCTTTCAATGGTATGAAATTAAATGGTATGAAATTAAACATATCAAGATGTTTTTCATGATGGGTGTTTCTATTGCTCAAAAATACAATAATCCCTTCTGTGAATGGGGCGACTCTCCACAGATCTGAATTGTAATGTAGCGGAGTGCTCTAAGGTGACATTCTGGAGATAAGCAGGCTGATAGAAATGTTACACAGTGCACCTTTAAGTTGTTCAAGTTTAGATTTTTTTAATATACTGTATATTACAGACAACAGTAAATTGAGAAGCATGTAGAAACAGCTGTCGGTGACTGCATAGACAGTTGCGACTGAAAGAAAGGACTAATGTGGGCAGAGCTAACAGTTTATCACTTGTGGTTTAAATCAGGAACAGCGCCTTTACAGTATTTTTCAGTCATTTCATGCCCTCTCACTCATTTCAAGCTGCCTGATTTGAGTAATAGGTAGGTAATTGCTAGCCTGATTCATTGGTTTTACTTCATGGAAACCGTCTGACCTCGCGGCATTAAAATTTGTTCGCTCAACGGAAGGTGGGTACTTTTTTTTATTTAACCAATTGCTGCTATTTGGTTGTGACGTATGTAATGCGCCGCCAACGGGGCTAACTGGTATATTTAGCTTTTCCCAAATCTTGTAGTAAGAAGGGCAATAACGTCTTTCCCTTTGATGAAATTCACCAAACATTCTCTTAGTTCCGGCTTTAAATCCTCGGTCTTGAGAATCGTTGCCAACACAGAATGAAAGGCTTTTCGCTGATTGACTGGTGCCTGGACTCGCACTTCTAGGGTTCTTGTAAACCGTCTAGTGTATTCTAATTCCTGACCTCGTCGCTGGAGAGAAATGAAATTGAGTAGAAGCACTAGGTGACACCAGCCTGGCTGCAGGATCCAATGATCGAAACAGGAAACGTGTATAAAATCACTAAAACTTGCAACATCTGTTAAAAACAAATTTTACTCTATCTGCCAAGTTGGAATTCTAAAGGCCAACAAAAGAGCTAAGTGTAACATATGTGTATAATATGTGTAACATATGAACCCCCATGTGAGACTGCACTAAACCAGTGATTCTCTGAACTAAAACTTCTGAACTGCTCTATCAATTGAATAAAAGAACACAGAAAAACACGAGATCCAAGTTTGAGTTTTGATGGGAAAACTTGCTTCTGGAGAATGATTGATCAGGAAACTGAAAATTCTGTTTAGGATTTTGCATGAGCTGTTTGGCAAATGTCAACTTTCAACTTTCAATAGACAAATACAAAAAGCGACTTAAAAAACCCCCAAAAAACTGTATGTTATGTTTGTAGGGAAATAATATCTCTTCATAAAATGTATTTGTAGGATCTTACCTTAATGTGTTGGTTCCAGCTGCACTGCTAAGATATTATGGACTTACATAGTGTCCTTGGCCGGGGAAGTGACAGACACACGGTTGACAGTTTAAATCCTGGACTATTTTAAAGATTGATGGCTGAATTCTGGAGACTTTCTCAGAGGTAAATTAACTGGACCTTTGAACTATAAATCTGGTATGATTTGGATGACATGAGCTCCGCACTAAAAATATCTCCAACAGAACTGAGCACAGAACAGGAAGTGTGAGGGATCAAATGAAACAGTTTTAAATCATTTTGGAGATGGTTTTAAATGCTTACTGAACAGTTCGGAAAGGTTTTAGGAGAAGTGTACAGTACTTGTTTCATTTTGGGACAGGCGCAAAGTCTCAGTATTAGTAGAAACTGTCCCATAGCGCTGAATTTAAAGGATTCATGTTGCGCTGTTTTCTGATCTATGTTTTAATGTTTCCTCATCAGAAACATAACTGGAGTTGTGTTTTGTTTCATTCACACATGTTTAACACTCAAACGGACTGACTTTTTCTCTCAAAGAATAAACACTGTTCCACCTTGAAATGATCTGTGGTGATACAGGAAGTGCTCCACTGTCTTTTAAACTTCATACACCTTCACTAGAATCATTTGGATAAGTTCAGCCCTGAAATTGCCATTCTTTACTGAATTAAAGGTAAAAAGTAGCTGTTAACTTCAAAACTATCACTTTATGATAATAATAAAGGGTTACGCAAACATGTGAATGAAACAAAAGACAACTCCAGATGCATTTTTGAGGTGACAACGTTGGCTTATGTTTGCAACATGGCTTAAAGCTCACAAGGGTCAATTTTGCATAATGTAGTACCTTTAAAAGTGGTCTTTGTAACGTTCTATCCATTTTGCGTTATTTAATTGCACATTTGCACAAAAATATGTAACATTTTTTACTTTAAGCAGACTCGACTCTCAACATATGATCTGTAACTTGGCTTGTGGCATCACCAGCTTGTGCCCATGGAGACAGATAAGTTAAATACCGTACTTGTTTTCCTGAAAGTCATCTTAAACCTCTTCAGAACTTGCTAAAGCCAGATGTTTATGTCCATGTTGAGAACTTTAAGGAGTGAACATACATATATAAACATACTGGAGAGGGCTTCAGAGGCAGAAGGGTGATTAACTGTACTAATTCAAAGTGTTGCATAAATATGAATAATGCATTTTAATAAGCAAAAGTGTAAATTGCATACATAACTTTATAGCTAACTATGAACAGAACTTGAACTAACTTATTTCCCTTAAGACGTATTTGTTATCAAGTGAAACCTGAATTTGAGGGGAGTCGAAAGCGCATGCTGACAAACAATAAGGGACAAAAACTCTGGCCAAAACATAAGACTAAACTACCATAACAATATATACAGTTTAAATATTGAATAGTCAATCAAAAGATCATTGTAAAGCATTTGGAAAAACATGCGTCCTCTTCATTCAAAATCAGGTGAAGGGACTTCGAACTCCTTTATGGTGGCGACCCCTGAGGTTCACTTCCTGTCCGTTTTCAATAAGGTCCCCATGAAACTATCCCCAAACACATGGTGAACTAGACTAACAGCCTGATATGTTCCTGAATTATAAATGTCTGCATTGTAAAATTAATTGTGTTTAAACAGTACCAAAGCTAAATTCTGATTGAATGGACTCTTTTCTAACCTGAAGTCATTTGGTTCATTTGAATTTCACTACGCAAGGAAGTTCAATCAAAACTGTGTACTTGCATAATTAAGTAAGCAGAGAAGACGAGAATGTAGAAGTTTTATTCAAATCAGTAAATGTCTCGAACAGATTGAGTCTTTACACCAATGCAGAAAATGTTAAATAAAGGTAGGTATCCTAAAGGGGGAAAGACACAGTGATATGTCCCATGCAAACTACCCCAGCAATGAAAGAATCAAGTCCCCCTTAAATACAATCATCTCCTCAACCTGTGATATGATTTGTAAAGACAAACGAATAATGGTCATAATATATTTCAAGTAGTATAACAAAGTATTTTCAAGGGAAGAGAATTTGAAAATATTTTTTTGGTAATTTTTAGTGAATTAGTTTGATTGAAAGATAACATATAGTGAAAATAATTTAGCATATGTAATTTTAGTCTACAATATGGGTTTTGCAACCTAACTAAATGAGTTTTGTTAATCCTTATTTTAGTACAAATTTCAGCAATTGTAAACCAATCATTTTTTGTATTGTATTTTGTATAAATGACCCTCACAGTGGCGTTTTCTTCAGTAAAAAGACACCGAATATTTCTGAATATCTGCCTGACCTTCATATGCTGCTTAACAACTCGGAGAGGTCACATGTCACATTTCAGCCAATCGTCTTGCAGCTTTGTCTTGTCTTCTTAACTCCATGTTGGGACACTGGGGCATTGTGTGTAAGCCTGGAGCAGTGTCTGTGTCTACTGGTCGTGAGGCAGCGTGTTGGGGGCGGAGCCTAGGCGTGTTGGGGGAGGGGCTTAGGAGATGGAGATGGGAGATAGAGGAAAGACAGAGGCTTTATTCTTTCCCAGTGGTGAGCAGTTTGAGAGCCTTCTGCAGATTCTGAATGGCAGTGGACACATCCTCGTACTGAAGGGCACTGCCGGCATATTTACAGTATTTCTGAGCCCGAGTGAAGTCCTCGGCAGAGAGAGACACGCCACCTACAGGACAGACAGAGAAGCAATAAAGGATTAATGTCAAGTAGAATATAAAGTTAATGTATTCGCCTTTAATCATTAGTGATGGAAATTCATTCTCTGCCAACCAAGTTGTTCAACCTGTCAGGAGCCTTGAGCTGCTGGTACCTGCCTGGGGACCCATGTCCAGAGCTTGAGTTCGACTTGGACAGACTCAGGACGACCTTAGCTGGAGGATTTGTTCTATGTGCATGTTTTGGATTGAAGGGAAAGTGCCCAAAGAAAACTCACTCAGACACGAAGAGAAACAGGCAAATTCTACACAGAAAAGCCCGTGCGGCTTGACAGTCTGACCCATAACCTTCCGGCTATGAGCCGAGAGAGCAAGTGAAAGCCACTCAGCCACTGTGCCTCATCCAATGCAGCATTGGTTTGTCGGACATTTCTTTGGCACCCTTCTCAAAGCGCAACAGTAGGACACTATTCACACTCAATAGTGGTAAGTTACTACTGAAGCCACATTTGCCCTGGGGCTGACAGACACATAAGTCTGCCATTTTGTGCCAATGGCCTAGACTACAGCCACTAGCAATCACTCACTCATTTCCATTGCAGCAAAGTCTTATTTTATCAAAGCAATTTTAACACATTCAATCACTCTGGGTTGCGGGCGACACTAAAGAGAAATGTATTTGTAAACAGTAAAGTGTCGACCTAAGAGGATGCATTTCATCATTACTATAATAACTATTAAAAGGTTTGCTTTCTATACCATTGCAGTATTTAGAACCATGTTGTATTTCACATGCGATTAACATTACATTAGCGTGTACAAAAAGCATACTAGTACTAGCTCATAAGCTACTGTGTTTATGCATTTCTGAGTCCAATTACTTTTAAATTAGTCTATGACGCTAACAGTTGATTACTGTTTTAGCATTTATTTTCCTTGTCCCAGCTCCGATCATCAGTCTCTCATGTTGACTTTCTGGAGCTCATTACAGCGTAGGACTCCACCCTGCTCTCCTCAGACCAGGCCCACGTTCTGCTCTACCATCTCCACAGATATAGACCTATAGAACTACAGTCCTCTCCAATCTCTAAACACACAATTACAAGGATAGATGGGTGTGTTGTTTTTGGCCTTATTTTTTTGTTGATGTTTCTGCTGCTGCATTTCTTGGTATTAATTTGAGTTTTATTGTCCTCTATTAAAACCACATTAGGGAGTTCTCATTATGATGATGGGTTTACAGTGAGCTTGTATTTCACAAGTTACTGATATCAAGTACTAATTAGAAAAGACTGTGTGAAACAAATCAGATACTTAAGTTTTAATGAACATTATTTGATTATTCATGAATTATTTCAGCATAAATTTAATTTCAGTACAGACAGCGATTCTTCCCATGAACAGCATTTCTTGTACAGTCTGGTTTCAATGTTTGGTTAAAATCTTCTGTTTGCTTCCTCACAAACACTGTCCATAAATATACAAATCAAACAGGTAATCCAGGATTTAACCAACACTGCTGCCAGAAATGTTCCACAGTATTGCAATAAACAGGATAACAAATAAAAGTGTCGCCACCAGACCAGGTTACAGGTCTGATCTAAGGAGATGTGATCCTGTAATTTAATAAATAAACATAGACCATTTAATGCCATACTGCATATATACTATCAAAGCAATAACATCCCCACAGAGACGAGCAGATGGAGACCTCACCACCAGAAAAATTACAGTGCACCTTGGCTTTAAGAAATGAAAGCCTCCATCAGGTTCGCAGATAGCACACTTTACAGGCTCCCTTTTCAAACTAACCTCCAATTTCATGCACCAAATCGTGTGTGGATGGTTAAAGATGTAATGAAATGTCCCAAAGAAGAGGTACTGCTCATTATTGGAGAAAGTAATTTCCTGACGCCTCCATTTGCTCCTGAAGTACATCAAAATCATGACAGAGTAGAAGGCAGTCGCTTACACAGTTATCTAAATGCTAATCTTTAACACATTCTGTAACTTCAGAAACATTTGATTCAGGACCAGTACCTCATCTCGGCTCTCACATTTCCCTATTGAAAATCCTCCTTTAGTTCATGTCCAACCAGAGTTTTTAGCATAGACCTTCAGGGAATTACTCTAACTCAAACCAGGTTTAACATATCCACCCATCACAAGTTTATATGATTGAAGTGAAGTTACGGAGAAGGGTGTGTTCCCATATCAAACTTATTATAATCTACAGCTGGGGGACACATGGATAAAGAAAACAAAGTAGTAAGTAGGTTACGCATCACTGTTCTATGCACATACATAGACGTTGCCAGAAAAGGCATCAAAATAACAGCTCCTACCACATGGAAAATCTCTTTTAAGATTTACCAGAGACATCACAATGCACTGAAATGAAAATAAGTCAGAAAAATACAGTATGTTCTGATTACAGTTTGGGATTAGTCCTATTCATTAGTCTCTATGATGATTTAAGAATGGCTTGAATAAGAAATCTTAGCCAGCTACTAACCATTTGCTGTAATCAGAAAAAAATCAATAAGCTGAAGGTAGATAAACAAAAATACTTAAAAGATTTTTTGAAGTACGATATATTGTCTTTTAAAATATAATATTGAAGACAAGTTCTTGCCACTTACATTTTAACCCAATTAAAAAAAATCCCAGTAATCTCAATCTTAAAATACCATAAATTCACCTCTAGAACTTCATGTATTGAACCTTAAGTCGAGATAGTAATTATTGTGACAGGCCTAGAATGTTTTATTCCACCTCCAAGTTCATGCTGTTTTTGGATCCCTGGGCAAGACATTGGGCAACATTAAAGATTGAACCTTTTGGTGTAATTAGTCATGAGTCTGCCCCAGGTTAATTTACCTCAATTAACCATTTAACATCTCTGACAACTTACATGAACACTTAGTAGAAGTAAAGAAAAAAAATTGAAAAAGAGAAGTTTAACTAAAGATACATGGTGTAAAAACAGCCATTTTAGTGCAAAGTCGACAGTTTTGGTTGGACATGTTCAGATGCAAGGAGTTCCCCCAATAATAACTACAGTAACTGAACCCTTGAGTCTTGAGGCTCTGCAGACAGACCAGAGAGGGCCAACTCAAACTCAACCAAGACCAGTCCGACTAAGTCCGGCTGTAAATCTGACACCAGAAGTCGACCTCTGTTCAGCACAAGGTTTGGGCAAAGAATGGATCTTCTGTGGTGGATGCTCTATGTTCTGAATTAAGGGTTCTATATTGTGCAAAATTGACTCTCGTGAGCTGTAAGCCAGGTTATAATGCTGCTACCTCCTCAAAAACATACCTTGAGCTGTGTTTTGTTTCATTCACATACATCTGAGTAACCCTTTATTAGTAGTCTGTCTAAATCTCCAAAGCTCAAAATGCTCGGTTGCATCTTGTGATGTCATGAAGCAATTGTTTGACCTTTTATCTTTTGTTTAGTAGAGACTGTCAATTCCCAGACTGAAATGATCCAAAATTATTCTATTGAAGGTGTAAAGAGTTTAAAAACACAGTGGAGCACTTCCTGTATTACCACGTGATATCACAAGGTGGAGTGTTTTCTGTTTGAGAAGAACTCAGCCAATACATGCAGGATTTGTGTGACTGAAGCAAAACAACACTTGAGGTATGTTTATGACAAACAAACAACATTGTAATAAATCAGAAAATTGAGCAATATGGGCCCCTTAAGAGCAGCAATCAGCAGCACAAAAACTGAGAAAAGTATCATGTTTATGTAGTTCCTTCTGCATTTACACATAATGCAGTGATGTAAGAGTCCACGCTGTAGCTGCTCTTGTTCCTACATAAAAGCTTAGTATTTTTATTATACCACACCCAGATAATTGGATATATTTGACCTTTTATATTTTCATAACTAAGATGTCTGCATTGAAAGCTTTGTTGCGTCATATAAAATAATGGCAGTAATTATTTGTCTGTACAGTGCATGAGACCTGCTGTTCCCTTTTCATAGGATCCCTAGTGCACACAGTAATGCCCCCTCAGTGCAATGGTATTTACAAACCAGATTTTTGAGACAGAAATTGAATTATACCATGACCATAAGCCTGTAATCCCCCAGCGATCTGCCTCCTCCTCTGAAAATGTGCTGAGAGAACAAGAGGCCAGACTGGAGGAAGATGGGAGCGCGCCAACATCTACAGCAGTTCAAATATACAGATCTGGAGACGAGGAGGACAGTGTCTGGATGGAAAGTGAGACAGTTTATGTGCTTATATGTAAAGGTGCGCTGCAAAACATTTCTGGAGGTGAGTATGTTATCAGCGGGTCTCCAAGAAGTTTTTTTTGCCTTGTATGTTGATGGTTTGCAGTCACGTCATGCTGGGGGTGCTCTAAACCACCACTGCAGATACATGGAGTTACCATGGTGATGCAATGCACACATCAGCAAAAACTGTCAAAAAAGTTTTAATATTATCTGGAAACTCAAGAACAAATACAAAATGGATTTAAAAACATATTTTCAGGAGCCTGTGATCAATACAACAAAAAATGTAAGAGTGATTAACTGAGAAACTGTGGGCCAATGCTAGCTAGCTTGAGACTGTAATGTTATCTGAGAGGGGCTTGTTAAACAGCACAAATCAGCTCATCTGTTGTAGTTCCAGCTAAATCGCTTCTTTCTGGTCAGATTGTGTTGAAACACAGCTCAAATTAAAATCAAATTTCAGTAACAGAGCTTCTAACAGAGCAGTTCTTACAGTTAGCACCACAGCCCCAGAGAATGCTGATGACAGCAGCTGCAAAGCATCAACAGGCCTAAACTTAGCTATTTATTTACTGTTTATTTGAATAGGGACAGATACACAAACTTGATTAACAATGCAGTAATCTGATGCAGATATTTAGTGTTTATAGTCAAGGCTATTTCACAACCATCTCCATGGAGACAAGTTACAAGTCAAATCTGTGGAGAGGCAATCCTGTTTACAGTAAGAATGTAAAAAAGGGTGCAAAAATTAGGG